TCTTCCACGTTCTATGGTCCATTCTTGACTTTTCGCCCTATACCATTGGCTCTTATTACTTTAGTTAGAAGGGTTTCTTCACAGGTCTTCTGGCTTATATTTACAACCCCCAACTGCAAAAAAGCCGTCTGCGAACGGGAAAGAACTGAATTTGTCTTCTTTTTCCTTTAAATCCGGTAGATAATGCGTCGTCGTCTTGCGGCGGATTTTTTTTTCTCTTTGGCAGTCGAGTAAGTAGAATCGTCTCTTGTCGTGGTTTCTCTTACGACCACAATTTCTTTCGCGTTTAGAAGAAACGCGGTCCTGAATTGTTTTTCAACTTGATGACACAGACTGAACAGTCTGCGAGGCTGACACCAACACCACTTGTGCTATCTCTCGGTATGTTTTAACTTGTGTGTTCGTGAAGCAGTACACCCGATTTTTGTACGTTTTCTTGGTGTACACGTCCATCTCGGACGACCAGTATGGAACAACAAATAATGTTACAGTTGAACCAATAGGCGATGTTTATGAAAATTCAGATGCCCGAATATGGCAAATGATTGCTTCAAGCCAAACCTGATCAACAACAATCTATTGCGCATGCGCAATGACTTTATCTTTTATAGTTATGCGTTAATAACAAGCCAATGAAACATGAAAAACCATACGCCATATTTGGGGCTGTTTTCTGGACTTGAAGTATGATTTAGCTAAACGATGTGGAATCTGCGTTTGTTTCAATTAATATGCACAATGATATGTACGTTCAAGTACAGCCGGGCAGGCTGACAAGCAAGATGTGCTGTAAATCTGATATATATACATGCTTCACTTGCTCGCAGGCATCGCGCCACGATCTCCAGCTATGAATGTATGGCAAATGCGCTGCAACGTCGGTCACCCTTTGACTGCCAAGAATACTCTTTGCGCCGTTCTTATACGTTCAAAGGGAGCCGGGCAGCTGGCAGCAAAGTGACAGCACGTCTAATTTAGGAGTGCTGGCATGCTATAGAAGGTACTTCAGAAATATGCGCGCCTCGCATATTTAATGGAGTGGCGCTGCTCTGCCGAAGGTCCCTGGCTTACCAAATGTACAAGGAATAAGCGCGGCACTCGCGGCGACTTGTTTCCACAGGGCACGTCTTAGGCCGCGTTAAGCATTTAATATACAGGGGCCTCCTAGAGCAATGGCGCAGTGTCGGTCGTCGTGCTTCTAATTGTTACTATCGTCTGTTGCTTATTGAACATGTGGGCACGCGTCCGTCATCATACAAAGCTCACACAGATTCCCAAAATCTACGTCAACGATTAGGGCCACGCCCCCTTTTCAAATCGTTGATTTTACTGATAGCCACTATTGCTTCAAAAGTTTTAAAAAAAACGAGATTTTTTAATAAAATAACTAAAGGTAAGTAATTTATGGTAAAACTTATTGTTTATTGTTTTTACTGAAACAGTATATAGTTGGGTTTACATAAGAAATATATGACCGGACGCGTAGCCTGGAGACTGGGCGTTGGTAACCGACGCGTTGGCCACGGCCTTTGTTGTATCTATTTGTATTGTATCTGTCGTTGTGGTGATTTATATTGTTTGCGCTTTCGGCATAATTCTCTGTTAAACTAATCGTTCACTTTGATACAATATATCTTGACGATCCAATCATTATTTATTTATAATAAAAACGTAAAAAAACCATTGTGTCTCTTTGCGTTTGTATGTGAATGAGGCATATACAGATCAAATCGCGCAAAATAATTAATTACCGGAGGGCTCAGTTGTCAGCAACATAATAAATGTTCTGAAATGATACCTTCTGTATTCTGCAAGGTTACGACACCCTGGGCGTTGATCAGAACTATTTACTTATAATTATGACGATTACGTAAATAACACTTTATTGATGTTTATTACGAACGTCACTATCTCGGGTGTAGAAGAGATGTAGGCGATAATCGTATTTTCATATATTCGTGATGTCCTTAACCGGACATCATCGCTGTACGACTCAATTACACAGTGAACTATGTATTGTTAATTACGCATCATTAATCCATTACATGGCTAACACCACACATACAGCACACAACAGACTGCGCGCGACACACACGACAAACATACGACACCACCACACACACACCAACACAGCACACACTCGCTCGCACATACACACACACGCACGCACGACCCACCGTACACACACACACACACACACCACACCACAC